TTTTCATACGATGTATTTCTCCTCACCGAGCCCTTCCCAGATCCTCTCCAGCTCTCTCCTCACACAACTTTGTGTTCTGTCTCTCTCTGAAAAACAAAACAAAAATAATAACACAAAATAATACATGAAATGAAAATCAAAATAAACAAGCAAAAGACCAGAAATACCAAAAAAAAAAAAATGCCCAAGCAAAACAAAATGAGATTGAAAGCCTGCAAAAACACCATTGGTGGTTTGTTTTTTGTTTGTTTTGTTTGTTTGTTTGTTTTTGTGCCACTCCTAGGCATGGACATTTTATTGCTATGTTCCTTTAGCAGACTAATACTATTAGATTTTCCTAGGCCCGTGACCTGTCTAGTCTGAGGTTCTTGGCCATTTTAGCAGAGTCAGGTATGGGTTCCGACTCTTACATCCATTGGAAAAGTGGTTGGTTGATCCCACAACATCCGTGCCGCTATTGCTCCAGTACCTCATGCCAGCAGGCGGCTGTTGTATGTATGTTTCACAGACTGTACCTGAAAGATGCTGACGATTACCTTTCCCCTCCGGCAGCATGTGCCGTACCTTCCAGCACCACGGATGCTAGTCAGTAGGGTTGAAGCTTCTAGTCAGGTACCAGCTCGACTTCTCAGTGGTTGGTGACATAGGATGGCAAATGTGGGCTTCAGCAATGGGGCCTTGCCATCGATTTGTGGGACGCAGTCTTGGCAATAGGCTGTGATGTTTGGGGATTTCCACGAGGCCTCCTTGGCTAGTGACTGGACTAGATGTAGCCCATTCCTGGCACCGGAGGTTTTCACTTGGTAGAGTAAGATGTCCAGGCACGGCATTGTCTTCTCTATCCTTTGGCGACTCTAGTCAGATTCCTTTCATTCGTGTATATATTTTGGGTAGCTTCTATGGTAGTTGCTTCCATGCAGCCTTTCAAATGTTCTCTACTGTTAGCTGTCCCCTCCCCATATTCCTGCTTTACACTTCTCTTCCAACCCCTTCTCATTTAATCCTCCTATTTGAGTACCCCTTTGTCTCTCAGTAACAATATGTTCCATTTCCCCTTCCTTGGGAGAACCTCCCCACCCCTGCCCAGCCCTGTCTCCTCACCCCACCCCTAGCCCTTACTAGGTATCTAATCTCCAGTGATTATTCAGACTTACACAACACACACACACACACACACACACACACACACATACACACACTCTGAAGACCTGAAAACTAACAGCCACATATAAGAAGAAAAAAAAAAATACATACAATATTTGTCTTTGGAAGGCTGGGTTACTTCATCCAGAATGATTTTTTTTAGCACCATTCCTTTACCTGTGGATTTTATAATTTCATTTTTCTTAACCACTGGATAATATTCCACTGTGTAAATATATCACGTTCTCATTATCCACTTATCAGTTGATGGACACCTTGGCTATTTCTAGTTTCAGGCTATTAAAAATAGAGTAAGTGTCTCTATAGTAGGGTGAAGCATCCTTTGGGTATATGCCCAAGAGAAGTGTAGTAGGATCTTGAGGTAGCTCTATTCCTAGTTCCTCGAGGAACCACGACACTGATTTCCATAGTGACTGTACAATCTTGCTTTTTCACACAGCAATGGATGAGTGTTCAGGCCCCTTCCCCCCACACTCTTTGAGCTATCACTTGTGTTATTGACCTTGGCCATTCTGACAGGTGTAGGATGGAATCTCAGAGTAGTTTTTGCTGCATTTCCTGACAGCTAAAGATACTGAGCATTTCTGTAAGTGTTTTCCAGCAACTTGTGTTTTGTCTTTTGAGAACTCTGATTAGTTCTGTAACCCACTTTTAATTGGGTTATTTGTTTTCTGGATCTTTAGAGGGTTTTTTTTATTATTACCATTTCTTTACGTCTTTGTGGCTTTAAATGGTTAAGATGTTGACCAGGATCAAGGCCATGCTGATGGATAGCAGAGAATTTTTCATCAAGCAGCTTTACTTAAGAAGTAAGGAAAATGTCTCTTTCAAGGGTTAAGTGATAGGGTTGGGAAAAGGTCAAAGTTCAACTGGAAACTTACTATTAATCAGGTCATGAAAAGATAAAAATAACCCAGCAGCCTTGACAGTAAGAAGAGAAACAGATTTTGTTGTTTTGATGCAGAAAAGCAGTAGCATGAGAAAAAGATTACAGGAGGGAGAAGACTAACAGAATAAAGGTCAAGGGTTAGCTCTAGAAGAAGAGTCCCACTCCTGCCTGTAGCAGGAGTGGTGGTGAGAAGGATTAATTAGCTTTCAGGAGTGAGGCTGGGAAAGGAAGAAGCTGAAGGAGCTCATGTCAGACGGCTTCAGCCTGTCGACAGTGTCATCTCTCTTTTCAAAGGCTGTCATGGTTTAACATGACCCAGGATTAAATCTCTACTCATGAAATGCTAAACAAGGGCAAAGCCTTTCATCAAATCCATCCTCCTCTCTTCCTCCTCTCTGTATCTGCTGAACTACAGTGTTCTGCACACAGCGCTGCTCAGCGAGGGACGCGGGTATCTAGGGCATGCAGAGGAAGCTTGTCAGTACACTCAGACTCCTCAAGAAGGGGCGGGACTTAATGGATATTTGATCGTAGTGAACAGTAAAACCCGAGCGCTGTGTAGCACTCAAGTGTCAAGGACAGAGGAGAAAGTGATAATTACGGTCTAGGAAAGTCTCTTTGAGGCAATGCCACTTGAAAATATTTAAACATTGAAACGAGAGGTATTCCAAACGATTAGAAAGACATGGGCCAGGTCGCCCAGAATGTGTGCCGGAGATCTGGGTCAGAAGTCTTACCTTGGTGACACAGAAAACAACTTGGGCTATCCTTACTTACTTGATTTATTGATAAGACCTTACATTTTTGAAAGTGAGTAGCCAGTCACTGACCAAAACCACACACAGCACAGAGCCGATCTAGCTAGATGGGACTCAGCTGGTAGAATGCTTACCTAGTGTGTATAAAGCTCTCGAATCCACCCCCAGCACTGCATAAGCCAGGAGTAATGGCTCACCCTGTCAAGGTCATCCTCAACTACTTAAAGAGTTCAAGGCCAGCCTGGGATTCATGAGCCCCTGTGTTGCCATTCTGAATGTTTTACAATGACATTGATGGGCATAAACACCTGAGTTTGCACTGCTGACCATGAACTCTATCCCTGCTGCCTCTGGAAACTGGGTAGCTGCAGCCACTGGCAATCACCTGAATTTGCATTCAGTGGGGGTTCTTGTCTCTCTGTGACTCTGCTCAGGGTCTGAGAGACAGATGTCCAAAGCAGATCTGAGATCATGACTGACAGCACAGAAAGGGAAGCAGCCTGGACAGAAGATGCGTGAGTCAGCTGCAGACCAGAAGGGGCTCTGTGGCTGAAGTGACATCAGAGGGGAAACTGCTTCCCTTACACCCAAGAGGGCCTGAACTCATGTTGTCAGCACTGTCCTCCAAGCAGAACAACCGTCCTGTCTGCAAGACCTGTTGTGTCTTTTTTGCAAACAGTTCTAAACAGGACTTGTTGACTGCTGTCATTCCCCTGTAGAAGGAGGGGACGAGAAACATCATTGCACCCACCCGAGGATCCAAGCATTCCTCCCAGGAACTTCCGTGCAAGTCTGCCCTGACTGCCTGTGATCAAGAAATGTCAGGGAAGGGCTAAATAGGGTGTTCATTGGGAGGGACTCCATCTACACAACATTTCGGAAGACATCATCCATGCCAGGTGAAGACTTTCCGGTACATCTATGTTGGGGTCACCCATACTCCTGTCAGTAACCCCTCACCTATGTTCTTAAGTAAGCCCAATAAACTCCTGGGTGAACTGTGGTCTTGGTTTTGTCATTGGGATCTTAGTGGGAGGAGACAGACATTGTTCACATGTCCTCTAGGGAAGGAATTTTAGCAACAACTTGATTCAGAACCCATGAAAGAAAAAGGAGATAGTGGTGCATGTCTGTAATTCTAAGGAAGAGGCAGACAGTTTCCTAGGGCACAGCTCACTGGCCAACCATCCCAACCTACTAGGTACGCAGCCAATCAGTAAGAGACCCCATCTCAAAACAAAGGATGGATGGAGCCTGAGGAACAATACATGCGGTTGAACTCTGAACTCTACACGCACATGAATATATATGCACCTACACTCCCCACACACATGTGTACCTGCAAACACAAATATTAATGTGTGTATGAGAGAGAGAGCGCTCTGTTGTTGGGTGGCCTGAAGTTCACCAGAGCTTCTGACAAATAGACGTAAGAGCAGAACAGTCGCAGGGAGTAAAGGAAATGACTATAGAGGATCATGAGCCCAGGCGGCAGAATCTGGCTTCCTACCAAAGGAAAGCTGCAAGGACCCAATGTCTCAGAGCAGAGCAGAGAGCTGCATCAGGAAGAGGGTCAGGCCAGCAGGCCAGCAGGATGGGAAGACTAATTGAAAGAACTGGAGATGGGGACTGGCAGGCTGCACCAGTCACACCAGTGAAATCGGAAGGAGAACGGAGTTGGAGAGAAAAGTCGTCTTGCAAAAAAAGAACTGTCTTGAATAGAAGAGCCATAGGTCCCCAAGGCTGGTAGTAGATACTCTCTGAAGTGATTTCACAATCATGAGCCTGCCTCCCTAAGGTAATTTAGATCAGCACAGATGGGGGGAAGGGTAAATTTTCTTCCTAAGGGCATGCAACTGTTTTCAGCCATCTCCAATCTCCTTAAGATGATCTGGAATTTTCTAAGCAGTCATTCAGTACCAGTTCTATAATTTCAGAGGCACAGAGTTGTGTGTGTGTACAGGTGTGTGTGTGGTGGGGGTTTGCTTGCTGTGTAGTTAAAATTTCTCTGTCGATTTGCATCTTATCTGGTCTAGTTACAATCATATTTTGCAAGTGTCACAAACCTGCAGTCCCAGCTGCTTAGAAGGTGGAGATAGGAGAATCATTTGAGTCGGATGACAGCAGGATTCTGTTTAAAATTCTAGGATTTAGTTCAGTGGTAAAGTGCTTGCCTAGCACACATAAGGACCTGAGCTTGCAGTCCAACAACACACACACACACACACACACACACACGCACACACACACCATATCTTTATTTCAGCCTTTCCAAGGATCTGTGATAGTCATGTAAAGTCTTTGCTAAACTCAACAAACAGGCTATTCGGGCACTGTCTTCTACTAAATTTTTGTGTGATTCTGTACCATATTATTTTACTTTTCTAAAGTGCGTAATAGTTTTTTGTGACATTGGACACTATGAATAAATTATTTTTAAAAATTTGGATTTGTTGTCTTCATTGGATGAATTGGTTCATTTTCGAATGCATCACAATTACTTCCACTGTTGGTTGGCTTGGTTTGGTTTAGGCGTTTTGGTTTTTGAAGACAGCGTCCCACTATGAGCTCTGGTTGTGCTGGAAGTTGCTGTGCAGACCAGGGTGGCCTCAAACTCTCGGCGATCCTCACACTTCAGTCTCCCAAGCGCTGAGATTTGCACCTGGGTCTGGAACTCTTCACAAAGCAAAACTCTTGTGTAGTAAGTGTCACACGGGATGACATGCAGGCCGGCCACGGGCCTCCCCCCCCCATGTGTTCTCCTTCTTTCCAGGGTCGCTGGCCTACAAAGCTTCTTATCAAAATCCTGAAAAACATCACTGTGTGTATTCTGTCCAGTCCGTGGTTGTCACATGAAGCTAGCTTTGTACTAGTAATGCCATCATAGCCAGAAACAGACTATAGACATAAGGAGTCCCTGAAATGACAAAGTGGCAATGATTTAACTTCTGAGCTGATCTCTGCTCCCTCCTCTGCAAGCTCCCAAGTGCTGGCTTCAGCTGAGCCTCCCTCGGGCATTCATCCAACTTATTGCCAAGTGGACATCCAACCTCTTTCTCAGACCTTTCCATTGGTTCCTATTGGGTAGGGAAGAGGGGGCAGGGCCTTCGTCCCTAGCTCTAAATTTTTGTCACCCTTGAAACAGAGGAGTAGGCTATGGACTAGCTTTTTCTAAAAGTAATGTATTTAGAACATTCAATATAAAAACAGTCTTTAAAAGGGGTCCATGTGGCTTTCAGAGTCTGCCTCCCTTTGGCCTTTTCCTTAGGGTGAGGCCTGGCCACATTTGGACTCCGTAGTAGCAGAGTTCTGTGACGCATCATCCTCTTTTCTTGCCGCATCCCTACCCCCTCACCTGCACAAAAAGAGAAATCACATAGGCAAGCACGGTGGTGCACGCCTGCAATCCCAGCACTCCGCTCAGGAGGCGAAGCAGGGAGTCTTGTGCGTTCAAAGCCAGCCCTAACTAGTGGCCTTGGGAGAAGTGCCGTGCATTCTAGGTGACCTGTCCTTGGCTTGAGTTGCTTTTTTGTTTTGTTTTGGTTTGGTTTGGTTTGGTTTTGATTTTTGTTTTTTGGTTTTGTTTTGTGTGACAGCACTGGCTATCCTGTAACTAACTCTGTAGACCAGGCTGGCCTCAGACTCAGAGATCCGCCTGCCTCTGCCTCCTGAGTGCTGGGATTAAAGGCGTGTGCCATCACAGCTTGAGCTGTTTTACAAGGAGCCTAGCAGCACTGTCCCCTCCATAATGTGTCCCCAGGGCCTCTGCAAGTCATACGTCCCGTCACCTGGATTCAGAGAGAGAGTAAACAGGCAGGAAGGTCCTGAAGCCTCGGGCACCAGACACATTCCACGTTAGGTAAACTGAGGCAGAGTGAGAGGCTGTGTGATTCTTGTCCCTTTGGTACCAATGGTGCCCAGTGTGGAAACCGCTTCTGTTGACGCACTCACTGTTTCCCTTGACTCTGAAACGCAGATCCTGGCTTCTGCAAGCTGCTTCATTTTCCTCGAATCTGCCTCTACGAAATGGAACGCTTATGCCGTCACCATCCCTATGGGACAAGAGATGGGGATTCCAAGGACAGCGGAACTAAGTATGAAGCTGACCCATTCTGACAGTTTAAATTAGTTTGCTTTCCTAGGGCTCTAATTTCTCACTAATGATGACAAAATGTATGACAAGTTAGATTCTCAATCTGTGCCAGGAATACTGGAGCACGCCTTTAGTCCCAGCACTCATGAGACAGAGGCAGGCGGGTCTCTGTCTCTGAGTTCCAGGCCAGCCTGGTCTACAAAGTGAGTTCCAAGACAGACAGGGCTGTCTAAAAAAAAAAAATCTAATCCTGCTACATATTGCAATTCAAGTTGGAAGTACAGACAGCAGCTAGACATTTAGAACTTATATTCTTTTTTAATTTAGTTTCTTTTATATTAGTTTTCCAATAATCTTTCTACAGTCTAAAATTGTTTGAGGAAAACAAATACTCATTTCTGCTATACTCAGAGGAGGTTTGTATGACAGAGTGCACATGTTCCAGTGTGTGCAGGTACATATGTGTGAGAGTGTGGAAGCCAGAGACAACCTCACATGCCCAAGAGCTACCTGACTTTTCTTTTCTTTCTTTCTTTTTTTTTCTTTTTTTTGAGACAGCATCTCACTGGGACCTAGAGCTCATGGATTTGGTCATTCCAACTAACCAAGAAGCCCCAAGGATCCTCCAGTCTCTGCTTTTCCAGCACAGAGATTACAAGAAATGCCACCACACCCGACCTCTTACATAGGCTCTGAAAACTAAACACAGGTCCTTGTGCACATTACTGACTGAGGTACCTTCCAAGACCCACACCCCCTCTTTTTTAAAGATTCATTTTACTTTTAACTATGTGTATGTGATGTCTGTCCATGTGGAGTATATCCCTGTGTGTGCAGGTACCCACAGAGGCTAACAAACTGTGTCAGATCTCCTGGAGCTGGAGTTACAGGCAATCATGAGCCACCCAACACTAACGGTGAAAGCAGGACAAGTTTGCATTCTTAACTGCTGAGCGTCCCTCAGCCCACCCTCCCTTTTGTTTTGTTTTGTTTTTTCTGGTCCTGATGATCAAACCCAGGGCCGCATGCACTTTTAGGCAAGCTCGCCACTGAACTACATTCCTAGTCCTCCAAAGTCCTCTCTGAACAAGCATTTAAGACCTCAGAAATCTGCTCCTGGAAGGCTGATCCTGGAAGACAGATGGTCTCGTTAGCCAAGTGTGGGGTAAGGAACTAGGGACCAAAAACCCCCTTTTAACTCATAAAATAATATAAAATTATTCTTCCCCTCGGGGTACATCCTATGCTTTTGACATCTCAGAATAATTTTTAAAAACGCATACGCAAAACAAAAATAATTACACAGTCTTAGGTTTGTTTTCTTAAATGATACATACATGCATACATACATACATTCCCTTCCTAACCTTATGTGAATGATTAAGCCTCCTGTCAAGACATATGTATATGTACCACCCAGGCCTTTGTGCATCTGAAGAGCAGAGGATAAACTGTCAGAGTGGGCTCTCTCCTTCTCGCATGTGGGTCCTGGGACTTGATCTCGGGTGACCAGACTTGGCAGTAAGCACCTTTACCCACTGAGTCATCTCTACAGCCAACTAAAGAATTCCGGCACCAACTATCTTACAGAAAATCTTCAGTCTGTAGGCGTGGCTCAACAACGGACCATAACAATTTCAAGGCTCTTGGCTTCCCTCTCCAACGCTGTAAAGCAAACAAACCAACCAGCGAAAGAAAGGAAAAGGACCGTCTCCCCGTGTGTGAAAACATTGTAAACTGAGTACCCTGTTTGCTCTCGATGCACTTGGGGTTATAACCCAGACCAGCTTTTAAATGTATTCTCTCATGCAAGATACTGCTCCTGCCCGGGCCTTTAGGAAGTGCCTCAGCTGCTCATTCGCTCCTTAATGGACTGCACTGAGGCTCCATTTCCCCTCCGATCTTCTAACACCAATAACTAACTCCCTTATGGTGCCTAATGGGCCTTATCCAGCACTCATCCGCTTGAACTTCAAAGACACACTGGTTTCAGTAGCAGCCTTCTGCATGTGTCCGTCTTTTCTTTCTTCGTGGAGTGATGGCTCAATGCATGCTTCACCCACGAGCACGGGGCACTCTAGCCCTGACCACGCCCCAGCCCGCCGGTGCGGTAACCCTGTGCGGTCCCTCCACCCCCTAACCGGCTGAGCATCTGTGTCTGTGTCCGCCTCCTTCTTCCCCACTTCCCTTCAAAACACCACCCGACGGTAGGGGTTCAGGATCCATCAGCATCTGGATGTCACCAGCTCTCCATCCAACCCGGAACACCCTCTTCATCACCAGACCCTAGCATTCTCATGGACACCCTATTCCTCCGACACTGTTCCTTCTCTCATTTGGCTCCATTATTTCTCCTCTGAGGAACTTCACAGCCTGCCCCGACACCAACTCTGCACACTCTGTTTCCAGTACCAACACCCTAGTACTGGCGACACTGACCTTCAAGACGACCTGACCATAAAAGTATGACAGTTGCTTTAATTCCTCCTCTAACCTTGACCGTACCTTAAATCCATCAAGCCCACATCCTTCAAATCTCTACCTCCTTTCACGGGGCTGTTCCTAACGTGGGCAGATTAAGAAGGGCTTCTCTTTCTGATGCTATTTTAGCTGAGTTGTTGTAATGCCTTTTCTTTCTTCAAAAGTGCATCCTCCAAAAGGGAAAGGGTCGGGGCTTTGTGTGCTCAGGATAATCCTTTGTCTGTGGCATTAAATGCTGGGAGCCTGGGAAGCAGTGGGCTCCAAACGTCTCTAAAGATGGGGTCTAGAGGTGGACTCAGCTGCTGGGCAGGTGAGGAAGGGAAGAAGGTGGTGTCTGTTTGAAGTGGCGCTTGCATGGTGGGCACACTCTATTCCAGTTAGGCTGCTTAGATGGCTCAGGGAGATTTTGAGGGCCATAAAAAGCCCTGTGATCTTTTAGTGCTGACTCAGCTGGTAAGAACATTGCCCCCAAATGAATTGCATTAAGGGGAGATCATCGGGGATAAAGGCAGCTTCCAGCAATGGTAAAAACAGCCCCCTGCCTTCTCCTACTGACTAGACAAGTCCTCTTGAGCACAACTCAGAGGAATGTGAAGCATTCTCTCCAGGTGTCCTCTCTTCCTCATGCTCTTGCTCCAAGGCTCTTGCCCTGGTTTCCCCCATCTGCCTCTCCCCTGACCATTGTCTGTGTAGGAAGAAGGAACAAAGGGTACCGCCTCCCAGGTCAGAGGCAATGAAGCATGATGTTGTCTAGTTCAAATGCATAGTCTAAGGAAGTCTTTTGTTTTTTCTCCATTTCATCCATTTCCATTTTCTGGATTAAGACAGAAGCCCAGAAAGACAGTGTTAAGAGTTTCACACAGGAAAAGTGAAAATTTAAAACCCTGTGCTGTCATTCACATAGTCCCACAAAATCCACACTGTAGCTAGCACAAATCAATATTAGAAAGCAAACTAATAAATTTCTCATCTGTGGAGATTTGTAAATGAAATGGATGTCGTCTAAAAACCAAACATACTAAATTCTAATTAATGTGTAACGCTTTATAAAGTACAGTGAAAGAATTTAATCCCTTTTCCCCTTGAATTAGTGGTGCCTCTCTAATGAATCTAGGCTGTCGATGAATTTGGCTCAGCTCTAGTAAAATCAATGAAGCATTCCTATCAAATCAGTATTCAGAGTATGTGTGCACCCACTCCCGCACAATGCTTAATGTGTGAGCTAGGAGCTACCCAAACACAGTCCCTTACCACCCAGGGTTCAAAGACTCCCCCACTTTAAAAGACAAAGAAAAAAATGCTGATGTTACAGCGATGCCCAAAGCAGAGTTTCAGAGGGCAGCAATTGCACATTTTGGTAAGTCATATTCTGTATTTCCAATAAAGAAGCCAACTGGTATAAATGTTAGACAGTGAAGACCGCATGTGTTTGGTTGGCAACACTAACTGACGCCTCCCCAGCCCGGCTTCAGAAGTCATTTGGAGAAGCCAGATGGAAAATGGAGATAGGAGGAAAAAAAGGATGATGTAAGAAGGATGTCTGGGTCCAGAGAAGAACAAATCCAAAGGGTCGTGCATTTGCCCCAGAGACAAGGCTGGATCATCCCCAGGGAGGGAACTGCAGAGGCTGTTTACATAGGCAGCAGCATGAGATGGGGCCCAGGCTAAAAGTGCTCCAGGCAGAGCTGGCCAAAGGGCATTCGTCGTTTCTGGACACAACCAGGCATGACTCCAGTGCCACGGTGAAAATGGAAAGGAATCTGGTCTGGCTGGATCTGCTAATTTGGAAATGCTGCAGCCTTGAAGACACTGTCAGGAAGTATGCTGCACAGTGAGGTAGGTTTTCCTCAGAGGAAACAGCAGCCAGCAGGCAGTAGCCAACAGTTCCCAACCATGAGGCTTAACTGGAAAAGCACTGCATCTATGTGAGCCCGTGTCAAGAGTGGCTGGGCATTTTAAAGGCTGTTCAACAGGGAACCAACAAAACGAAGCTATAGGCTGTCATGGTCTCGTTTGTAACCAACACCAATGAAATGTGAGGATGTTTGGAACAGTCGTGGCTTGCAAATTTTTTGTTCTTTTCCTCAACGTTAACTTTTTCTGGGAGTGCATGAGTGCATGTGTGCATTTGTGTGTGTGTGTGTGGACTAGAGGACAACATTTGGGAATTGAATCTCTCCTTCTATCATGCAGACCCCAGGATTCTCAGGTTTGGCAACAATGCCTTTACTCACTGGGCAGCCAATTTCTGATCTCACTAGCTCATTCTCTCCTTCTCAGGGACCTCAATTTGTCTTTTGCTGCGTGCATCTTTTTGACAGGCAATGTCTACAATCTCCAAAATTATCTAGTAGATGACCACTCTGTGCATAGTTCTGCTAACTGGTATTTTCATAATGAAAGCAACTCTCTGGCCAAATATGGAAATGCATACAAATTTGCATTAGTGTGTGAGCACTAGACATGCTTTACTACTCT